GCTGTGGGAGAAAACTAGGGCTGTCTGTTTCTGTAGAGATTTATAGTTTTTGGAACCCTATGGGACAGTTCCCTGTCACAGCCTCACAAACCCTATATTATATGTAGTAGTGAGTCAGAATTGAATCAATGTCACGGAGTTAGTTTTTTGGGTACTGTAAGTTAAGTAGACTCCATGGCACATAACAACAACAAGTTAAATAGAAATTGAAGGATGCAAACAGTTATTCTCTGAGAAGATTCAGTGAAGTTGATAAACCAACAGCAGAACTGATGAAAACAAAAAGAGAAAAAGCAGAAATTACCAAATAAGAGTAATGGGTGAGGCTATCACAGAAGGAAACAATTTTGGGCCAATAAATTCAGTCGCATAGAGGAAATGTTCACATCCCATAAGAGACACAGCTTACTGAAATTGAAATAAAATATACATAACTATTTTTATTAAAGAAATTAAATTCATAATAAAAAACCTCTAGTTTCAAATGATCTCTCTCTCTCTCTCTCTCTCTCTCTCTCTCTCTCTCTCTCTCTTTCTCTCTCTCTCTCACACACACACACGAGTATTAGTAATAGGAATCATTTCCCAAGTAATTTTATGAGCTCAACATAGCCTTAATAACCAAGACCTGACAAAGGCACTGAAAGAGAAAAAATTGGGGCCAGGAGGTGGCAGTGGGGTTACCATTTTTCCTCATGGACACAAATAGAAATCCTTAGTAAGATGTTTATAAATTGAGTCCAGCAATATACAAAAGCTTAATACTTAATGAACAAGAGGGGCTTACCTGAAGAGTGCATTGCTTGTAGCATTCAAAAGTACACTTAACAGAAGTTAATAAAGGGGAACTGTAATCATCCCAATGAAGGCATTTGACAAAGTTGATTAAAATTAGGGTTTGATTATAATAAAAACTATCAGTAAACTGTATATATATATAAAATGAACGACAGCAACAACAACAACAAAATGTAACACCTAACACTATTTTCCTGGTGAACAACCGTGCTTTTGCAGGAACAGAGGTTTTCTTTAAGCCTCAGTCTACAGACTGGGTAGTAAGTATTTGTTTCTTTAAGAATTGGAGCAAACTGCTGAGTGGTTTCAAAGAACAAGAGTCAATTATCTCGGTTTGAGAGTCTGCAAGTCCGAAATTAAGGTGGCGGGACCTTGCTCTCTCCAGAAGTTCTGGGGGATGATCCTTCCTTGCACATGTGTAGTAGTCCTTGGCATTCTTTGGCTTATATAGATGCATCATTCCAGTCTCTGCCTTTGTCTTAATTTAGCCGACCTTCCTGTATGTCTGTCTTTTCTCTTTTTACAAGGACTAGGACCCACCCTACTCCAGTAGGATTTAACTGATTACATCTTTACAGACTCCAAGCAAGATTATATTCACAGGTATTGGTTCCTAGGACTTGAGCATAGACATTTTGGGGACACAGTTCAAGCCATAACAGGCGCAAAGTCCCATTTTCCATATGCAGAAATTGAAGCCGAAGTATGGAATTTAGTGGAAGCAAGGTACCCAGACATGTTCCATTTGCAGATTAGCACAGTCTCCTAGTAGGTGATAGTTCATGGAAGCGACTGGTATACTATTGATTGTGATGGTTCTGACTCTTAGCAACCCTGTAAAGGGTTTCGGAGGCAGTCCATCTGTAAGGGAGCAGAAAACCTCATCTTTCTTCGGCAAAGCAGCTGGTCGATTCAGGCTGCTGGCTTTGTGGTTAGAAGGCCGGCCGGTGCATGACCACTACATTGTCAGGCCTCCTACTGTTTATAGGCCAGCAGTATTTCGGTGATTTTAAACAAGATTATGGTGAGCATTAATGAGATGGGGAGCTTGAAGCATGAAATAATTTATGCAAAGTAACAAAAAAGAAACAATTTGTTGAACTAGTAATAGAACTTGATTTCTTGACACCCAGTCAGACTTTTATTTTAATTTTGAGAATTTACCAGAAAGGGAATAACTAACCAAAACTGAACTGGTAGATTTTCTTGACAGAAGAATGCAGTACATTTAAGAAAATGGCTTGGCATTACTTGAATGACTAAAGTAAAGTATCTTCAGATAGATTTCGGTTTTATTCCTAACCTATTTCCTGTTGATGTGTTTTAAAATGTGGACTTCTGTGATACACTATCATTCTCTCTTTCTCTCTTTTTGGATTTGGACATTGGTTTTCATCCTCAAGAAAAATCTACCACATAACCCACCGCTGCCGTCTAGTTGATTCTGACTCATAGTGAACCTATAAAGCGAAGTAAAACTGCCCAAGTTTCTCAGGCAGTAAATCTTAATGGAAGCAAAAAAGCCTCAACTTTCTACTTTGGAGAAGCTGATGGATTCGAACAGCTAACCATTAGGTTAGTGCCCCCAGGGCTTAATTTGATAACAGCTTTTGGTGGCACTGTAGGATAAGCACTGGCTGCTAACTGCAAGCAAGGTCAGCAGTTCAAACCCACTAACTACTCCAATAGAGAAAAATGAGGCTTTTTGCTCCTGTAACAATTTATAACCTCTGAAACTCTATACAGGGTAACTGTGAGTCACAATCGACGTAATGGCAGTGAGATTTCTTTAAGGGGCTCATTGCCACACTTCATTAATCCTGACTAAGAACATAGAGTTAAGGAGTCAAGGCAGAGGGAAGGTAGATTACAGATGAACTCTGTCTGCCATTTCACCTTTTCTACCGACTCTATGGCACTTAACAACAACAACAACTCTTCTTTTGGTTAGGGGAATACTTGTACCCTCTGAGTATGTCTGAATACCAAATAAAACTCAAGTGGAAGCTTCTGTCGGACATCTGTCCAATGGAATTCTTAATTCCTGCATCTTTTTTTCTGGCCTCTTATTGAATGACTGATATATGAGTCATGCTTTAGTTTTCTGTTGAACACTAATGATGTAAGATAGTAATGATTAAGCTTAAATTAGAATGTAGGTTTAACATTTCTGAGGCATTTGTTAATGTTTCTCTACATTATCTGTTACTGTCTTTGCAGCCTTTGGACTGAAGGTTAGAGAGCCTTCACTTTGTCTTAAGGCAATGTGACTCTGTTTAAGAAGCTCTGAGGGAAATCACATGTTTGTGAGTTGTCTCATCCTCCTATACCCTTGCCCTCAGATAGAACTTCATTTGAAAATATGGGCTAATATTTTAAGTATGAAGTACAGTCATTTTTGCATATGAGAAGAGAGCTTAGGTGCCCCAACTTTTGGTACTCATTGTAATTACAGGATTTCCCAAGGTCTGTAAACAGATGCTGCCTGATTTTCGTAGTCACTTCAAAAGACTAGGATTCAGACACAGGCCCACTTTGGAGTTTGTGTTTTCGGTCACTTAATTTTTATTCTCCACAAATACACTAAATACTGTTTTCTGTGAACTTCAGTTTGAATTGTTGTTAGGTGCCGTGGAGTCGGTTCCAACTCATAGCGATCCTGTACAGGGTTTCCGAGGCTGTAAATATTCACAGGAGCAGAAAGCCTCATCTTTCTCCCGTGGAGCATCTGGTAGTTTTGAACTGCTGACCTTGCGGTTCGCAGCCCGATTCATAACCAGTATGCTACCAGAGCTCCGTTTTAGTTTGGGGGTTGAATAACCCCCTGGGAAGTTCAGGTTCCTCTTAAAAGTCAATTGAATTCACATTGAAGAATTAAAAAACCTACTCAAACCCACTGCTACTGCTTATATCAAAGCGCTATTGTTTTTGTCATTTGCCAGTCAGTGTACAGGGTTTCTGAGAACATTAGGTGAGTTAGAACCACCAATCTTGGAGGTCAGTAATCCAGTCCTTATCCTATAGAAGCACAACAGGGCTTCCACTAAAGAGTTGTTATTGTTGTTCAATGCCAGACAAGTTAATTCCAACTCATAGCTAGACTCCTTGTATAGGGTTTCTGAAGAGCAATTGGTGGATTTAAACTTTCAACCTTGTGGGTAACAGTCCAGTGCTTATCCTACATTGCAACACTAGGACTCACATTAAAGTGCTGTTTTGTCGATTCCGACTCATAGCCACCCTGTATAGGGTTTCTAAGCTGGTGAGTTTGAACGGCCGACCTTGTTCAAACAAACCTTGAGGTAGAGTGCTTATGCTCTGGTGCCACATCAGGACTCACCTTAGAGATTGGTAACATTTAAATATGTATATCAGTGAGCATGTTAAACAAGACAAGCTCTTAGACCTTCTTAGTGGTGAGAGGTGAGATTACTGTTGATTTTTTTTTTTTTTTTCTTGCTTTATTCTTCTTTAAACTTTTTTATGAGAAAGATAAATTTGCTTTGAAATGAGGCTTTGTTAAAGAATAGCAATTGTTTGGTCTTTATATAATTCATTATCTCATAATCCCTAAAAATATAATCAGATAGGGAATCCATTACTTAAACATGGCAATTTATACAACATGAAGGTATATAAATCAGATTGTCATACTTTTATGCTAAAAGAAAAGATTTGTAAAACTTTTTAAGAAAGCATATCAGTCAAAAAATCACTGGCAGCATTTTCATATTAAAACTTCATAAATATGCCTTAAACTCTTGTGTATGTAGGTTATTGATACACGTAGTATTGCAACAACCACCTTTATATAGAAGATTTTAAATTTTTTCTTATTGAGTTACTCCTTTCAGATAAATTTCTAGGATTAAGTAAGTACTCGATTGAATATCTTTTATGACCACATTGTTTTCCCAGAGAAATTCCGAGTAGAGCTTAAGGCAGTGAGTCTGTGCCCCAGATTCACCATCATTTTGATGTTACTGACTGATGTAAATATCAAGGTGTCAGTGCTACTTTACTTAGAGGAACAGTATCTCACAAGGAAGACAGAACATTTTCCCAGTGTATTGTAGCATATTAGGTGACTTGTATGTTTATATGCAAGGATTGGACTTGATATGGCTTTTTGGTAATTTATATCCTTTTTACATTATGTTTTCTTTCCAATCTGTTGTCATTTCTTGACACTTGTCTAGGATCACTAGACCTGCAGAGGTCTTTTGGTGTTTTCTCTTTGGGGGTATGGAGATCAAAAGAAGTCCAATAGTACTGATAAGTAGAATTTCAGTCTCAGAATAGCCTTCAAAATGCACAGATAGCACTTAAATGGAAGAAAACAAATTTAAGAACACCCCAGAGTCAGTTTGAGAATAAGGAGACAAAGATTGAAACCGTTTTCTAGAGTTGCAACAACTCCCAGAGCTGAGGGATAACTGCATGTATTACCTGTTGCCTTTACCTCAGAGATTTCCTAAGATTGGCATCCTGTCCTGTTTGAAGCTGTTGTTGTTGGGTGCTGAGGAGCTGGTCAACTCTTAGCAGCCCCTTGTGCTAGAGTAAAACTGCCCCATAGGGTTTCCTTGACTCCTTATGGAAGCAGATTGCCAGCTTTTTCTCCTACAGAGCTACTGGGTAGGTTTGAACCTTCAGCCTTTCTGTTAGCAGCCAAGCACACTCAACCATTGTACCATCAGAGCTCTTTCTGTTTTTTGGTTTTTGATGTACACAAAACACACAGAAATCTATAATCACTTAAACTACCAAAGGACACGTTTTGAAGCTCTTCCTTTTGAGTCTAGTGAATATATAATTTGCTTTTAACATAATAAAATTTAAGTCTTTTCAGGTTCTCCATTTCCCTTGATTATTTTTTCATTCTAAGCTTATATTTTATTTGCATCATCTAAAGATAATAGCTATTACTTGATAGAATCAGGTAAATAAAATCACTTATTCACTGAGATTATTACTATTTTTTATTTCAATCACAGAACACAGGATGGTTTTTAGGAGGTAAAAAAACTCTTCTCCATCTCGCGCCCCCCCCCCCCTCACACACACAAATACTGTGAAGTTAAACAGCTATTAACCACTTTTAAATGTCCGCTTGGTTGGTTTAATCCTGAAGTTAGTGTATCCTGCTTGACCCTTACTTGTTGAAGACTCCAACATTGTATTTCATTGCTTTGCTGAGCACTTGTGTTCCACGGAATGGTTGCAGTTACTCTCTGTCCGTTTAGGCACTTAATTACTTTAGTCTGATAAATATTTGGACTCCCTCACCCCCAAGAAAAGTTATTTTAATTATTTTCCACCTCAGTCATATAAGTTCTCATTTTCAAGTTGATCATCAGAAATTTTAGCTGCTTCATGTAAATAAAATGTTAATGTTTTTCAGGGAGAGATGTGGTCAATTAAATACTGATACGTACTTTATTTTTCTGTCCCTTACTCAGATTGAGTCTGTTTCTCAGACACTGGAAAACCATGGTGCCCCTATTATTGGTCATCCTTCAGAGTCATTGTCTACCAAATCATGTGGCACCCTGAGACCTGTCAACGGAGTCATTAACACGTACGTTCCATCTTTTCTTCTACTTTGTCACATTTAGTAGGCTTGTAAAAGGTGAGTGTTGGGTTCTTGGAGCTCTCTAGCCAGGACTGACACCTGTATAAGGAAGTAAGAAACATTATCACGTGTGAATGTTTTGTATAACTCTCTTA